GGAGGAAGGAGGAAGGAGGAAGGAGGAAGGAGGAAGGAGGAAGGAGGAAGGAGGAGGAGGAGGACGAGGAGGTGACACAGCCCCCACCAGACAGCACATGGCACTCTTCTACGCCTCGGCGTGCCACGGCATTCTCCGCAGATAGACAAGGCAGTCGCGTATTGTCAAAGCCGCTGCGACCAGCAGAGCAGTTGCACAGGATTCTTCTTTCAAAAGCACACGAACGGACATGAGATATGCGGCTTCTATACATCATTCAATCCTCTGGAAAGTAACGGGAAGACGAGACATGGCCACGCTAGCGGTTCACAATTGTGCACAAAGTTGATCCCATCAGCAGACACGCAGATGGTCGACCTGTATAATTTTTGGAACACCTTCCGAGATCCGCTCAACGGACTGTATTGTGATGCGATCTATCCAGTTGCCTCTGGCAAGGGCCGCCGCTGCAACGACTCGGCGGCCAGCGAGGGTGGGATGCGAGAAGGAGAAGACCCTCTCAGAAGGCGGCCGGGCTTCTCAGAAGCCCTCGCGCCTTTTGATAAGTTTTCTGCGTCTTCGGGGAAGGCTTAGAAAACTCCTGAGAAGGCTGGAGGCCCCCCGATCCTTCTGAGAAGCCCCGCCACTTCTCACTTTGCCCTAAGCGGCGCCGCTGCAACGATGCGGCACTGGCATGTGTGCGTGATGGCTCTGCCGATCTGGCCCGAGCATGTCCGGCAGCAGCCTCCACCTCCGCGCTGTGCACGACCTCCGGCATTCACGCACAAGGACTGCATGTTCTGGGCTTCGCCTCCCGCCCCCCGCACGCTTCTCCTCCTCCACCCGGCCGCCGTGCCCAAATCGGCCACGTGCATCCCACGTCTGCCGTTCTTTGAAAGCGGCTGGGGTTCTCGCTGGTGCGACAAACATGTTCGGCAGGAGCGTCGTGGGGCCGTCGTAGGGGGTAGCCCTGCGACGAAGCAACAGGGCGCATCAGTGACCTCGCATGCTGTTTGCACTGCTGCCCTGTGAACAACTGTCTGGGCAGAAGGCCATATGCAGTCATGAGAGTACCATGGTTGTGAGTACCGTCTTCGGTGA